CACTCTTTCCTACTTCTAGAGAATTTGAGGCATAAGTTCAGGAGCTTTGATAATGTGAACAGCATATTCTACAAGAAGATCATTCAGAGGCTAAACTTTATGTGAACATCCATCACACAACCCAAGAAAACAGGATAAAATGAAACTCTAATGAGAATAAGTTTGTTTCTATTACTGACTTGCATAATCAAATACAAGGATTAGAAATATCTTATTCAAATAAATTAGAGATAAAACTTTTTCAAATTTCTGATAGATGAAATACAATTTTTATAAGGTCAGCTTTAGTATGATGATGCTATTTATGGGTTCTCAAAAAAATTTAATCTGTGGAATATGAAAAAAACTGTATCTTAGATTAAAATGATCCAATAAATGGGGTATAGGAGAGATATGGTTGTATAAGGCTTTTCTAAAATAGTGGTAAAACATACATAAAATTTGCCCTTTTATCCACTTTTTACGTGTACAATTCAGCAGTGTTAAGTACATTTACAACCTTCCGCAACCATCACCACTATCCATTTACAGAATTTTTTCATCATTCCGAAAAGATACTCTGTATCCATTAAACAATAACTTCCCATTCCCCTCCTTTCTCCAGCCCCTGATTACCTCTATTCTACTTTGTGCCTCTGTGAATTTGTCTATTCTGGGTACCTCAAATAAATGGGATCATACAATGTCCTTCTGTCTCTGGTCTATTTCATTTAGCATAATGTTTTCAGAGTTCATCCATGTTGTAGCATGTATCAGAATTTCATTTTTTATGGCTGTACAGTATCATATGGTACATATATACTGCATTTTGTTTATCCACTCATCTGTGGATGAACACTTGAGCTGTTTCCACCTTTTGACTATTGTGAATAATGATGCTATAAACATTGGCATACAAGTATCTCTTTGAGTCCTGCTTTCAATTCCTTTAGGTATATACTTAGAATTACCATATGACCCAGCAATTTCACTATGTTTAACTTTTTTGAGGAACCTGCATAATGTTTTTAAAGATGACTTATAAGATAAAAATTTATTAATTTAGGAGATATATACTGTGAAAATTGTTACTTCTCGCTTGACATTTTACTTATCATTACTAGAGATAGACTGCTATAGTAGGTAGAACAGAGAATATATCATTTTCTTGTGGTGAAGGAGGGAGAAATTTCCAAGTAATGACAGATCCTCAAGAAAGAAGTCACAATAATTGGGCCCTGCTAAAATGTAAACACAGGATTTTGACAAACATAAAATATAGACTTCTTTAGAAAACACAAAGTTTCATTCAGAATCAAAGTAAGAATTAATCCATTATTTGATCATACAATTGTAGTCTCTGTATGCAAAATAATTGATCAGTACGCTTCAAAAGTGTAAAAGTCATGAAAGACTGAGGAACTGGCACAGATTGGAAGAGACTAAAGAGACCTGATAGCTAAATGTAATATGGATCTTGGATTGGATACAGAACAGAAAAAGGATAATGGTAGAAAAACTGGTAAAATCTTAATAAAGTCTGTAATTATTATAGCAGCATTAATATCTTGGTTTTGATAACTGTACTATGGTTATACAAAATGGTTAACATTAGTGGAAGCTGTGTAATAGTATACAGAATTCTCTACTATTTTTGCAACTTTTGTGTAAGTTTAAAATCATTTTAAAAAAAAGCTAAAAAGAATTACAGTCTCTAGACTTGAATGGGCATCTGAAATTATTAACTCAAATAATTAGAAATAGTAATAATAAATTTGAAGTTATAAGTCTGATCCCTGAATGAGCCTCCAACATTCATTCACTGAAGAAAAATATAAGACTTTTATGGTTAGTACCCCTAATAATCAATAATAATAAATTTGAAGTTATAAGTCTGATCCCTGAATGAGCCTCCAACATTCATTCACTGAGGAAAAATATAAGACTTTTATGGTTAGTACCCCTAATAATCAATTTCCTCCTGCATCCTCATTGTCACACTGGCCCTGTATTTCTTCCTCTTAGATACATTCTCCCAACCCTTTCAACTTTATCTTCTAGAACAGACTTCACATAGGAAGGCTTCTCACAACATTTATATCTTCTCAAATAATTATCCTCTTCAACTATTGCCAAATCAATATGTATAGTCCAGATTGCTCTCTGAGTTCTGACAGTACATCTAATGGCCTAGTGGACATCCCTACCTTCCAAAAGCAGCTAAAGTTTGACTCATTTGCACAACTCAGAAATAAAGGACTCAGCTACACTTTTCCTCAACCACATCTATTCTCTGCTTCCAAGTAGTATCTTGGTCTACATTGTAGTATAAAATCCAATATATTCTATTCACTAAAGTATAAAATAAAGTTGAAATTCAGCCATTTTTATCACCAGTAGACACAGTGAATATGTTTATCACTGATAAAGATAAAAATCTCATTATGACCTAAAATGCCAAAAGAGATTGTAGAAATTGGTTATAGGTGAATTCAGGACATTTTTAATGGTGAAAATGCCCTGTTTATTTTGTATTAAAAGAGAAACAACAAGCTACTGTACACTGATATTTCCATTAGCCATGTGACTACTTATTTGTGTATTATGAATTTAGAAAATACCACAAAGATGAGTTAGTTCTTTTTGCTATTCCTAAATTCTACAAAAAGAGAGTTCTTGACTGGAAGGAAAAAAATCAGGTTATCATTCCGTATTTAGTAAAAAGTTCTACAAATTTGAAAGATAAAATTCCAAATCCAACAGGGCCTAGCAGAAATAAAAACAAGAAAAGGTCTTGATTATATAAACAAAGATATTAAATAAAGTCAGAAGGAATTGTTTAGAAAACTGTGTGTGATCTGGACACACTATGATCAGAAAGGCAACTCAGGAAATAAGGGTTGGAAGGCACCTAGATTAGCCTAGAAACCTGGAGATCCCAATTACTTCCTGCTATGAACTGAACATTTGTGTCCCCCCCAAATTCATGTGTTGAAATCCTAACTTCTGAAGTGATGGTATTAGGAGGTGGCGCCTTTGGGAGGTGATCAGGTCATAAGGGCAGAGCCCTCATGAATGTGATTATAAAAGAGACCCCAGAAAGTTCCCCAGAAAGCCTTATAAAGACCCCAGAAAGCCTTATAAAAGAGATCCCAAAAAGTTCCCTTGACTCTTACATCACATGAAGTTACAGTGAGAAGATAGTTGTCTATGAACCAGAAAGTGAGCTCTCATCAGACAACAAATCAGTTGGCACTTTGATCTTTAACTTCCAATACTCCAGAACCACGAAAAATACATTTCTGTTGTTTATAAGCATTGTTTATGGTATTTTGTTATAGCAGCCTGAATAGACTAAGACACTTCCATTTAAAACAGGATTAACAATCTTGATTATTCTTTATTGTTGAAATCCAAAAACTAAATTTGATTAAGTGTTTTTGTCTACATTTTTTTTAAGTGAAAATCAAAATATTTAACCAAATTTAATTATAGTTTCATCAAATGAACTTCCATATAAAGATGATTTGGATCTTTTGGTAAATGTCATGGTAACTGGAAATCCCTAGTTTAAGGAAATAATACCATCCAACTCAGGAGTTGAGTTGAAATTAATCTTTCTTGAATTATATTTTAGTAGTTTTGTCTTATTAGAGAAGGCTACTGTGTTATTGTAGTGGAACCCAATAAGATTTTGCTGCTCATTAAGTAATAATTAATTTTCCATATGTGCTACTGAGAAATACAAATGCCAGATTTGGTCCTTGTAAAGGCTCTGTTACCAGAGTTAGAGAAAGTTCTGAGGTACCCCCAATCAGGCAACACACTATAAATTAGTAACATACTACATCATCATATGTGGGTCTTCTTTGAGAATATATCTATGCTCTATGGTCAATGGGGCCTGTTCTAGGCAGCCCTGCTTTGATGGAATTTCCTAGTACATCACTTTAGATTAAGATCAGTCAAAGACTTTTGGTGCTGAAAGGAACCTTAAAGATCAAAACTGATATCACAGGAAAACGTATAATCTGATGACAAGTTATTCAAAAACCTTTCTTGCATTAGTTCTGTTGATGAATAAAATAAAACAAAAAATAAAATAAAACAAACCATCCAGAAGAATCTTTCCCTCTCATCACAAATATGAGGACTGCTACGTATGTCTAAAGATAGAATTGTCTCATTTTTCCAGAGCATGATAAATAGTAGGTCATAACTGAACTCGACCAAAAGCTATTTGTTTATCTACAATTTATCCTAACCTCCCATCTCGTTTGTTGGAAGTAAGTTTCCTGCTCTTTATAATAAAAATACAGCAAGCAGAACCTGGATATTTACAGTGTTTTGTCAACAAATAAAACAAACAACTCCAAAAATCTGCACTGGCTATGCAAACAAAAGAAGTCAAACAATTACTTCAGAGTCCCAAAACTAATTTATTGGCCTAGTGAGGACTAGACTCCAACATGGATATTTTACTGTTCTTAGGTCCCCAGTAAGATAAAATCCTTCAGCATATAGTTTTAGTCATGGGTTATTTTTATTTTATTAGCATTGCCTTTAAATCACTCTTCCTTAAGGAAAACAAAAAACAAGAAAACCCTCTAGCATTTCCAAATTTATGATACTCTAATTGAATTATGCAACTGCATTATAGCAATGGTTTATAGCTCACTTTACTTTTTACCTAACTTTTATCATTTTGTGTTTAGAACTATTCTCAGAAATACAAATTGGCTGATTACTGAACAAGTTCTAATTACCCTCCAGAGACTGTGGGAGCCTGGGCTTTCAGTATTGTTCACTGTTTGGCTGTGATACAGGCTTCCTCTTCTGGTGCCTGATCTGTTATTGATTTAAAAACTGACCTAAGGGCTATTTGTTCTGGGCCTTTTGAAGTGCATTTGCTGTTCCTGACTTCTAGAACTATTCTGTCAGACATCTTGAAGCCTCTATGCCATATTCTTTACTATGTAGTTTGTGCAGCCTAGGATAATAGCTCATTAACCTGCTCTCACCTCAAAAGAGGGCCTATGATTTAAAGCACCTCCAAAGAATTGCACTAATGTTTCAGTTTTGAACCTTGAGGCAGGTCAGTTCTGTTCCCAGTCCACATCACCAGTGCTCAGCTCAGGTCTCAGCTCACAGCAATTCCTCAATGCAAAATAAAAACATTCTGTTCCCAGTCCACATCACCAGTGCTCAGCTCAGGTCTCAGCTCACAGCAATTCCTCAAACAATTTATAAATATTCTTTATAATTTTTTGTAAACTTATTTATAAATAATTACAATTATTAGTACAAATCATTACTAGTACAAATCATTATTTTTAAATAATGAAAAGTTTATAAAATAGTAATTTCAGGAATAAATAACTTCAAAGGATAGTTTTGATATCTAGATCTTATGATCCTAGAGAAATGGCATCAGAAAGCAATTCTACATTGATAGTTTCTGGCTATCTTAAAGAAAATGTTATTCATTGAATTATTATTTTTTTTTTTTAAGAATTAAGTGGGCATTTTGGTAGAACAGCAGCTGTTTCATATCTGAGTTCCCAAGGCTTGGTTATGCTTCCTAATCCTTTTCAATCTGAAGAGAGATTTACACAGTTTTAAACTTGTCATGGCACTCAGAAAAGGGGAGGCCTGAGTCCCAACTCTTTGATAACAAAGAGGGCACACACACCTGGCTATGGGGAGGAAGTAAGAGTAATACAGGTGATCCAGGAGGCAGCTCAAGGGTCCCCTGAACTGCATTCACCTCTCAGTGGAATCCAAGAGGGATCAGAGAGTGTTAGCTGGGGAGGAGATATTTAACTGTGAGAGAAGGAATGCTCTGGAGGGAGCTGGGACCATGCGCTGTTCATTTCTGTCATGGTGTGGTCCAGTTCCTTACAATTCAGTTATTAGTCAAAGACCTCTCTAAGCCCCAGCACACCACTAAGCTCCATGAGGGACAATAATAAAGCCAGAAGACTTGGTTTTTGGTCCTTAAAGTGTTCACAATCTAATTTGGGGAGGGATAAAATTAACAGAAGTTAAATGACCAGAGAATAATTAAATGCTAAGCTATAAGTTCAAGAGGAGTTCACCAGATGAAAAGACCTGGATGGAGTAGTGGTGCAAGACAAAGCCTCAAGAAAACGAGAGACTGAATTGTGGAACCAAGGCTGATTGTGACTCAGGGGTCTGTCGATGAGCCTCTCTGAAGACAGGAAGGTTCGGAAGCATGTCCTTGAATGGTGGCTCAGCAGGAGACAGCTGGGATGCACTGGTAAATCCTGACACACTGTGTTTGGAAGGACTGGAGTCTGTGATGAAAACACAACACGAGGGCCAAAAAAGAAAGAACAGAGAAGCAAATAATCCTTGGTTGTTTTCATGCCTGAAGGGGCTCACTATGGCATGAAAATCAACATGAAAACAGTCAGACATACCACATCATTCAAGCTGGGCACTGTGCAGACATTCCTTGGTCTAAGTTTTAAAATATTTATTAACTCCTTGTTAGCCTCTCAATTTTTGGAAGAGAATATATAACTTAATAACAAAGGGAGGGAAAAGACCCAGGAAACTACCAGGGAGTCTCCTTATGCACATAAAGTTATACTTATACAAGACTATGAAATGGATGTCATGATCCCCATTCTAGAGATGAGGAAAAGGAAGTTTATGAAGATTAAACTTAGATTAAACAAGATAGCTCATCTAAGCTTGTCCAAATATTAGAATGGCAGACCTAGATTTTGAACCCTGGTATGCCGGTTCAAAGCTGGTGAAGCCCATTGCTTTGTTCTATATAGAGAGTGTGCACTTGATTACTCTTAGAGAGGAGAAGAACCTATGACACTTCACTTGTAGTGTGGTCTAGTGCTCAGCATGGAGCTAGGAGTGAAAAGTGGTTTTTCATCCATGTTTTGCTACTAGTTTTAAGACTCTAGACAAGGCTTTCCCTCTCTTGATTCTATGATCTAAACCTCAAAAAGAAGACACGAATTAAATTACTGCTAAGTTATCATCTGTATAAGTTTATGATTTTATGGACAAATGGATTCTCCATCAGGGAATGATCTAATATGACTTCTAATAAAAAGAAGAAGGGGAATATGAGGATACACACTGATTTTATATCTAAAAATCCACCAAGATATAAATAACCTAATAAATATTAACCATTCTGCCACAACAACAGTGTCAGCTCCAGGACTTTAAAGAAGGGCTCAGGAACAGAGGTTTGTTGTGCAACTGTGTACAAGAAGCCTGCTGCCTTCACCTACATGGCATGCATTTAGGCCCCCATAACTTCTTTCAGGTCTCCAAGCCATACCTTTGCACTGCTACTGCCCATTAAGGTCCTCAGAAAAAGGCTTGAGGCGGGACATAAACAAGGTCCAGTCAAGGAACCTACATAAATGAAACAACCAGAGGTAAGAGACCACAGAGAATATATCCCAGACAGGACAGTCCCTACTCAGCTCTGGCTGATATCACCCTGCAGTCACCAGCCCTTCCAATTTTGCAAAAGAAGCCAGAAATATGGGTTTTTGTGTAGTGTGAAATACTAATTCACCAATTATGTGGCCAATTACTGACTAACTATGTGAATCAGACAAAACATGTCTGGATGTCCACTGTGGCCCAAGGATCATCAGTTTGTTTCAGAACTGGCTGATAAAAAAGAGAAGGCAGAAGCCCTAATCAGTGCTGTCTTAGAAATAAAAAAGGGCTTACCGAAGACAAGGAAAAAGATTTGAGAAAAATCTTGTGCAATTCACACTTGAACAGTTTATCAATAATCCATAAGCTGCCTTACATCTAACTCCCATAATGATAACAATCTTTGTTAACACCTATCTGCTTCCTACAGCCTACAGTAAGAAAACCCTTAGAACAAAGAGTTGGTGTGCTAGAAAAACAAAAATGGGAGAATTGGTGAAAATTAAAAGTAAGTTTATTTCCCAGCAGACCTAAGCGAAACAGAATTCCTGCAGTGGAAACTGATCAAGGCAGCTGGAAAGGGGTGGAGGTAAACAGGCCAAACACTAGGTCTTTTGAAGAAAACAGGTGGGAGAGGATGTTAAACAGATGAAAGCAGGGGCTGCAACATGAATCCCAATGGGAGGGCAGAGGTGAGAGCGCAGAGAGGAAGAAAGAGAAAGAATAGTCAAATATGAAGAGAGGCAGAAGAGAGAAGGCGGCCATGGAGCATGTGCAGGGCAGGGCAGCAGAAGGGCAACCAGCTCCCCAGTGCCACTTAGGATGGGTATGGGTGGTAAGTGCTCCTTAAGTAAACCATGAGGAACTCCAGAAGAACTCTAAGAGCTAAGTCACCATCATAATTCAAGCAAATATATATATATATATATATATATACATATATATATTTTTTTTACATCTACAAATACCTAGCATACTCAAGATGAGGTGCAGGAGCTCCAAGGAGTGTAAATCCTTCCGGCAGGAGGTGAGTGGAAGTCAGCAGTTTTGAATGTCAGGAAATCATCTTCCCAGATGAGAGTGTACCCTGTTTAAAAGCAAGTTGATCTGACATCTGTGCTCCTTCTACTGTAGCTTCTTATTATGGCCATTTGATGGAGAGGAGAAGCTAAGCTCAGATCAGCTAATTATTAGCAAAACTGAGAGTAAAAACCAAAACTTTATGATTCCCAGGATGGCATTTTTTTTCACCTGCATCATAGTTGAGGTATAATGTATGCAAACCAGAGAAAAAATTAGTTTGGAAATAATAAGAAAAAATATGAAGCAAATACTTGGGGTGAATTCTCAGTGATACCTATACAACAAAGATGGGGAGTTCTTCTATGACCTGAAGACTAGAAGTTTGCCTTATATAGCTTTACCAGGTTCCCATATAGAGAAAAGGGAAATTCACTTACCTACTCCCAATCCCCACCCTGTCCTAATTCTGTTCTTCAATAGGAGTGACCAGTAAGGAATTTTTTTCTCCCTGTGTGACTTCACAGAGATGAATCATGGCTCCTTGAAAAATTGAAACAGGAAAGTTGGCTCAGGAATAATAAACAGCAACTCAGACCAAATCCCCTGAGTTCTAGGTAGGGCCTCCATGAACAAGACTTATCTACAAAATACTGTATTGTATAAGCAAATCTTTTGAAAAATAGTATCTGGGGCTTTGAAGATGTGGACACAACCAGCTTAAGCATGTGACACCTGTCTTTAGAGATAAGTGATTATTTAGTTCAAAAAAGCAAAACTGTTTTCACAAACTGTCAGCTGTAAACATATTTTAAAAATTGCTTGTGTCAAAGATTTGAATAAGTGGCTTAAATGTGAATTCAGGAAGACCAAGAATGCAAAATGGTATTTTGTTAACAAACGGAATTTGCTGCCCTTCGCAGTTCTACAGCTGATTCCACTGCAAGATTTCATTCTTTATGGCAGAATATGGAAATATGACTTTGTAAACATACGAAACTTATAAATCTGGTATCCACATTTATTAAAAGGAATGATCAGTCACAACATATTCTTTCTGTAATTAAAACATCTTATCAGTACGTCAGTTCGTGCTATTTTTAAGAGTGTGCAATACCAGTTCAAGATTTCTAATCTGTTTCTAATCAGACCTTTTTTCACCCCTCCAAACAATAATGCTAACATTTCTTCTGCAAGCCACAACAATGTTTGAAATTGGTAAGGTGTTTAGTCATTCTTCTTAATCTATGATAATCATACTTTTCTCATTTTTGATTTTATGATTTTAAAAAAAATATTTTTATAATTATTTATCCATGTATCTTAGGGAAAATCAGTTTACCCTTTTAAAAGACCATGTGGAAAAGGCTCCATGAAGGTGAGAAGCAGCTTGGCTTACATCTCCTATAAAATGCTGCCCTGGTATAAGTGGAATCTTGAATCTTGTGCTATCAGGTAGAGAAGTGATAAGCTTTCTGTAGATTTAACTTCATATATGTTTTATACCAGAAAAAGAAATCTATTACCAGCAGGCTTCACTGTATACATGCTACAAAGGATTAAAAAATTATACCAGGAGGCCAGGAGAAAAAGAAGTCAACAAACAGCAAACTATCAAAGAA